TATACTTAGTCTTTTAACATTTTCTTGATCCAGAGGCTATGGATAGACGAACCGAAGGCTCTGGTTGAACGAACCATAGTCTCTGTATCTGATCTCTGTGTCCGAGATCTGTATCCGAGCTTTGAACTCAAGGTCTTCAGACTTTGAAGATAAGTCTTAAATACTTAGACTTAGTCTTGTAAGCACAGTTCAAAGATCTATAGATAAGTCTTTAAGACTTCGACTTAGTCTTGTAAGCACATTTTAGAGATTGATAAGTTTATAAGACTTATACTTAGTCTTGTAACATTTTCTTGACCTAGAGGCTCTGTATCCCAACTCTGTGTCCGAGCTCTAAACTAAAGGTCTTTAGACTTTGAAGATAAGTCTTAAAGACTTAGACTTAATCTGGTAAGCGCAGTTCAGAGATTTAAAGATAAGTTTTTAAGACTTAGACTTAGTCTTGTAAGCATAGTTCATAGATAGATAAGTCTATAAGACTTAGACTTAATGTTACTTTGACCCAAAGGCTCTGGATACACTATCCAGAACTAGAGGCTCTGTATCCGAGCTCTGAACTCAAGCTTTTCAGACTTTGAAGATAAGTCTTACATACTTAGACTTAGTCTTGTAAGCACAGTTCAGAGATCTAAAGATAAGTCTTTAAGACTTAGACTTAGTCTTGTAAGCACAATTTAGAGATAGATAAGTCTATAAGACTTATACTTAGTCTTGTAACATTTTTTGACCCAGAGGCTCTAGATAGACGAACCATAGGCTCTGGTTGAACGAACCAAAGGCTCTGTATCCGAGCTCTTGGTTCCAGGCCACTTCATGACTAAGTTCTCTTGGACTAAACCATCTTCAGATTTTGTCTTCATTTTTGTTGAACAGAGGGGCTCTGGTTGACCTTGCTTTTGGTTGGTGAGTCTAGAGGGGCTCTGGTCCTTAAGAACCAGAGGAGCTCTAGTGGTCTTGCTCTGTATGATGCAAGCTTTACCATGGGATATTTTTCAAAGATATTTGGTATTTGAATAACTCCGAACTCAAGGTCTTCAGACTTCATCATCAGATTTGACACTTAGGCGCTCTTCGGGTCTTCTCTTGAAATAACTCTGAAGAATGACTCATTAGACTTGTACTTGTACGCCTGAGAAGCTCACCCGAACTCTGAAGTCTTCTATTTTTTATCTCTGAAGACAAGTCTACAGATTTTGACTTAGTCATGTAAACACATTTCTGATCTCTGAAGACAAGTCTGCAGATTTAGACTTTCATACTTGGCCTACATTTCAGATCTCTGAAGATAAGTCTGCAGACTTCCATACTTGGCCCAAATTACTTTAATAGAACTTCCATGATATTTAGGACAATTTTGGTCCTAACAATAAGTATTACAAATTTGGATTTATAAACTTGATTTGGTGATTTTCACCCTGTAATTGCATAAAAGGGATTTCTCAATAGACCTCAAGGTCTAACCCTCATTTTGTGTTTCAAAAATGTGCATTACAGGTCGAGCTCAATCAAAGGATAAGAGAAAAGGGAAGTTGTGAAATGTCTTATATGCTTACAATGGGATGTGTAGGACATCATGCTTATTCCCAAAGCAAATAGACAAGACATTGTTAATGTGTCGTTAAGTTTATCTTACATTTGGAAAAAAAAAATGCAAAGTCCTAAAGTTAATTAAAAACATGAGGTTAACTGTTGACAGTCAAGCTTTTAATATCGAACAGACAAGGATTTTTGCAAACTGGCTTTTGGATTTAAGATAAGGCAAGGTTGGTAGTATGAATGATGGTGAGGCAATTATTGATATACATGATGATCTTCTCATTACTGATTCAATGGATCCTATATCTGCATTGATTGAATTTATCTATCCTTCTCTTCTTGTAAATATCAAGAATTCATCTTATTTTCAAGAAAGATCAATACTTGCACCAAAACATGAAGTCGTTCAAGAAATAAACGATCATTTGTTATCATTGTTTCCCGGAGACGAAAAAATGTACCTAGTTCAGTTAGTCCATGTGAATTAGAACATTTTCACGAACAGTTTGATGAAACTTTGTGCTCACCTGATGTCTTAAATGATCTTAAATTATCGGGTTTGCCAAACCATAAGATATTACTAAAAGTTGTTGTTCAAGTTATGTTACTAGGGAATATTGATCAGAAATCTGGGTTATGTAATGGAACTAGACTATGAGTGTTTTTTTGGAAAATCGGGTTATAAAAGCAGAGATCATATCTGGAAGCAATATTGGAAGCCAAACATTTATTCCAAGAATGTCTTTGACACCTACAGACAAAAGGATTTCATTCAAGTTTCAAAGAAGATAATTTTCAATTGTTGTATGTTTTGCCATGACCATAAATAAAGGTCTAGGACAGTCATTATCGAAAGTTGGTTTGTTTCTGAGACAACCAGTCTTCACCCATGGTCAGTTGTATGTTGTTTTATCTATAATAAAAAAATAGGCGAACTTTAAAAATATTAGTTATAGATGATGATGGTATAATTAGCAATAGAACAAAGAATGTTGTATATAAAGAAGTATTTGGTAATTTATAATACATGGTTCTTATTTTACTAATATTTTAACTATGTAATTTTCCATAATTTCATTTACCTTCTATTATAAATTTTGTTTTACAAATTCTTAATATTTATTCATATTTTTATTATTTCTTTACAAAATGCATAGCGCGTTTGTTCCACGAGCTCTATACCATCGACCACTGATTTTGATCATCTGGTCCATCTCTTGTCCTTAGTGAAGTATGATCTTTGCGAGCTCTAGTCCTTGAGCTCTGGTTCGTGAGCTCTAGTCTTTGAGGTTTTGATCGCATGGAGCACCATGCAGAGCCTTTGGCTTGCCTATAAAGAGCTCTGCATGAAGGCATTTCTGGTTCGTCTTAGTTGCTCTGGTCCACCTCCAATCCCCCTCTGGTCTTCTTTAATACACGAATCAACACCGAAGCTTTCTGTCCAGCAACATTGCACTGACCTCTACGATGCTTCTAGTCATGAAATATTTGGAGTTTGGGGAAACTCAAAACACGAACATTGTAGACCAGTGTGTTAGCTGTCCATGGAGACTGGATTAAACTTTTCTGAAGCTCAGATGCATGAGATACAATCGATTTAGCACAGACGCACAGATCTGTCGAGCAACTTCTGGTTCAACGTGTTAGCCTTTGGTCGATGACGTATAATGATCTGATACAGAGCTCTGGTTCTTCCGTTACGAAGCAGATCTGCCTCTATGCACAACAGCTTTGCTTCAGCACACTACATTCAACTTTAACGATACTTCAATGATCATTCAACTTTTCAAGTAGTAAGCGATTTAAATGTTAAATCGGATGGGTGATAAACGGTTTTAAGATTAAATCGGATAAAGGGTGAGCGGTTTAATACTTAATCGATCAAGGCTTGAACGGTTTAGGGTTATACCACCTACGGCACGAACGATATGGCCTTAAACCAGATGAGGGTTGAGCGGATTAAGACCTAAACCGGACATACCTTGTACGGTTTATGGATAAATCGATTATTTAGTCGGTTTATATATTAAGCGAATTATGAAATTTCAAATCATATTATGAGTATTAATCAGAGAAATATGAATACGATTATGAGATGTGGCATCCGGATTATTAAACCGAACGATCATGAATAGTGTTATCCGGATTGGTTATCCGGACAAGATTTTGAGATTCAAGCTAAGTGGTAAATCGGTCAAGTTATGTGAAGTGTTGTTCGGATTTGTTATCCGGACAAGGTTGACCGGATTATGTGTTGACTTGTCAAATGATGATTCTTTTAAACAATAAATGGGAATTTTGACAAAATGAATTTGAACTGAAAAAATTCCATTGACTGCGGTCTATTCTATATGGAATTGTTTTGTGAAATATTTTTATGAGGAAATAAGGGTGACATATCAAGGAGAAATGTACCATGGAATAAGTGTGTCATATCAAGGAGAGGTGTACCATGGGATAAGGGTGACATATCAAGGAGAAGTGTACATTTTGATATAAGGGTGGCATTTATATGTGTGTGTTATGTAATATAACTCCTACTATCATATCCCTTAAGATTACTGTGGTCTGAAATCTTTATTTATTTGTGATTTAAAGGTTTAGGATCAGGGTTCTTATTGGAAATCATAGTCTGAATGTTATAGAGAAGGAGATAACAGGTTTGGCTTGAAACTTTGAATAAACCTTATTTGATTTGAAAGGTTTAAAAGTGGCATTATGATAACTTAGTTAGTGTAAACCTGTTTGGATTTGATATATTATTTGCAAGCAGAGAGTTTGGCTTAAAAAGTATAAGGTATTGGTATTATGTTCTTACTTGTTCATATATTTGTGATATATATGAAAAGTTGTTTTACTTAAAGGTTTTTAGTGATTTTCACTCTGTAATAACATAAATAGGGTATCTCACTAGACCTTTCGGTCTAACCCTCGTTTTGTGATTTTAAACATGTATTGCAGGAAGTGCAGAAGGTAAGGGAAAAGGGAAAATATGATAATTTCCTTATATGTTTACCTGAATGAAAAATGGCTGGTGATATGTATAGTTTTGATAGATAAATCTTGATTAGTACAAGAATTATATTTTGAATTTTTGGACCATGTATTATGTAATGGTAGATTCTTGTACCAAGGGACCTATGTGGTGTACGAACATGTATTTCTTGTATATGGAATATATGTTACATGCAATGTGTGGTGTGGGGTGTTACACCAACGCACAATATGCATCTATAAATGAGGCTGAAAAGATGTACAGAGCTTACGTGGACAATGTTGGGTTTGATGTTCGTATCCATGCAAAAAAAACAAACAAGCACGATGACATTCAAACTAGATGGTTTGTGTGTAGTAGGGAAGGAAACCCAAATAAAAAGCACTTTGATTCTATGGAGATTCAGCCCTGTGAGAAGAGATACCGCAATACGAACCTTAGATGTTGTGGATGTAATGCATGAATAAAAATGCATTTGACGAAGGATAGGGCTTGTTACGAGATATACGAGTTTGTTGAGGCACACAACCATGCGTTGTTCAATATCAACGATCGTCGTTTCTCTAGGAAGAATATACAGATGAAGTATACAGATTTCAAAAATGTACTAAATAGCTCAAGTTACAAAGTCGGTGCAAGAAGGGCTCACCGTATTCAAACGACATTAAACGGGGGATTTGAGCATACTCGAATTTGTGAAATTGACTTCAAGAATTTCAAGAGGGATGTTGTTGCTTGTGTTGGGAATAAGAACGCAAAGATGTTGATCAATAAACTATCAAACAGATAGGATATTGTCCCCGGTTATTTTTTCGAATACAAGTGCAATGAACAGGAGTTGAGCGCAATTTTCTGGGCAAATGAAGTTGCTAGAATTAACTACAAAGAATTCGGTGGTGTCATATCGTTCGACGGGACGTTTCGCACGAACAAGTAAGATTCCCGATTGCAATAAAGTTTTTAAAGTTTATTACGCGTTGCTATTTTATGGGCATATGACGTGGCTAGAACTAGATAACAATAATTGGTTGATATGTATTTCAGGCATGCCATGATTTTCGTTCCTTTCTTGGCTGTTGACAATCACAAGGCTTCCGTTGTTGTCGGATCCGCTCTAATAAGTGGCGAGATAATTGAGAACTTTACATGGGTTCTAAAGGCTTTCCTAAAATGTCATGAGAAACAACCAGTTTTCGTTATTACAGACCAATGTTTGGCAATGAAACAAGCTATTCCGATGGTGTTAACGGAAGCTAAGCACAGACTCTGTGTGTGGCACATTATGAAGAAGGTGCCTTCAAAGATAAGTAGTATTTATGGAATGCTATTGTTTTTAAATGAGGTTATTGTTTATTGTTTCATTAATGGTAGCCATATACACGCAGGTTAGTGTCGCACTAAATCAAGATCTATGTTTAATAAAGTTATCAACAAGCTCGTATGGAACATACATATTGGCCCAGCGGAATTCGAGTCGTTGGTATGAGATGATCGATCAATACAATCTAGGTGGTGATCCTTGGTTCACAGAAATGTATGACATTCGACACTCATGGATTCCTGCCTTTTATAAGGACACGTCGATGTCTGGACTAATGAAAACAACCTCAAGATCTGAGAGTTCGAATTCGTATATTAATATATACGAATCATTATGGTTTGATTTGGTTCAATTCCTTAATAATTACGACGTAGTTATAGAGAAACAAAGATACAGACAATCTGTTCACGAAACAGTAACGAGAACCATTAATCCAAAGTTTGTTACTCCATTGCGCTTAGAAAGTCATGCATCAAGTATATACAGTTGAAATGTTTTTTTTTTTTTGACATCCAAAAGGAAATAAAGAAGGCTGTATGGTTCTGTGCTATAGAGACCGTCGAATGTCGGGATGATTTCAAGTCATTCGTGATAAGCCACAAGACCAATAAATCATCTGACAACATCACGTATCTGGTATCATATCCCTAACTAAAAAAACAATGGTTTTTATGTTATTTAATTTTATTTTGATTGTGGTTGTTCGCAACTTTTTTCATTTTAGGTGTGCCGTAATTACTCAGAGTGCAACCTATTTACGCGTAACGGATATCTTTGTTGTCACACATTCAAGGTACTGATAAACGATGAAGTTGAATGCATTCCGGATAAGTATGTTTTACGTCGATGGAAACGACAATTAGTTCCAGTAAAATTACAATTCGCAAGAGTTCATTTTGGCGAGGTTGATGCCGAGAAAGATAAGTGTATAATTGATGTCTATTCCAAGGTCGACGACATAATAAGCATCGCCCGCAATGATTAATCTATATTGGCTAGATTGGAAAGGAATCTCGACAAATTCATGGTTGATATAGAGAAGAAAGTTTCATATGAAGACCCATACCAACAGAAGTTGGATGCGATTAGAGATCATCTAGGTGTTTCCATACCTGATGAGGTGGACATTCTACCACTGTCAAGAATAAGGAACAAGGGTTGTGGCACCAGTAAGAGGCTGGTAAGTGTATTTGAGAAAATACAGACTAATAGCAAAAAAACAAAACGAAAATGTGCAACGTGTGGACAACGTAGTGGTCATGACTCACGTAATTGCCCAGAATTGATAGATTAGTTAGAATTCAAGTACTTAGAATTGTTATCGTTTCGGTGTAATTTGTTGACGTCAAACTTACATATGTTCATGCGACATCTTCATCTTATGTTTTGGATACGATATGCAACTATAATTTCTTATTAGTATCTTATCCATCATAAAATAGATTTAGGATAAATGTTTTTTATTTACCCGATATGTGCTGAAAAAAAACATCAATTGCGTGCTTTTTAATTAATGGTTTCGTATGGATTTGGTTTTATGCAGTTTGTTGTGCCTTATATTCATAGTATAAGGTTTTTGAATTACTAGGCAGAATTAGGAGCTTAAAGGTTTTGAAGGTTCTTATTTTTACTTATAATTTGTTAAAAAGTTTAAAATCGATTTCAATGATTTGCTTGATATAACAGTTGATGCTCTTGTTTATGCCTTTAGTGTTCTCGATACGTTATGTGCAGTTTATGATGTGTTGTTGATATATCAAATTATAGTTCCATTGTGTATGTGACCACGTGTATCCCCTTTCTGTCCCGGTGGCGTGAAGTCTGAATAGTTGACATAAACATATATAATTTTATCAACTTTTTGAGATGAAAGGTTTTATAGTTAAACATATGAACGTCATACAGATACTACGACAGGATGAAAAAGTGGTACTCCGTATGTTTCAAACAGGTATCGAACACACAGAGACAGTATATGAAATCTAGTTGCAAGTCAGGATATTCCACACATAACAAGCTAGTAGTCACTATAAGTGAACATTCCATATATTGCATAGTAATAGATGCGTCCAATAGGTAAAAACAGAGGATTGCAAAGCATATTTTACATTACGGATTTCTGATTCGCAGCCTTTTATATCAAGTTTGACGTTGTATGCATATATTTCTCATGGGGCGTTATAATTCTCATCAACTTTTAAGTCAAATCTTGCATAATCGTAATCAAAATGCGTAATTTAGCTATCTCCCTATTATTATATGAAAATACACATCTATTGAACTGATTGTATCTTAAAATAAAAAGGTTGGAATGCACCTGACTAGCGTAGATATCTCCGGAGGCAGCTAACATATTCTTACCCGCAAATTCATCAAGCAAATGTTATCCTATAAAAAACGCTACAGTAGCTAGGTGTTAGGGCTTCTATCGATTAGCAGGTGTAATACCAGATTGTTCCATTGTAGCATATTGTAATGACAATACAGTTATTGAAATAGTCACATACAAACAGTCTTTTGGCAACTTTGTTGATTATTGACAAGTAAAATTGTAATCAGCTAGTCTACACATATTGAAAACATGTGAAGATCCGTATATGTATAAAATTATTCAAAACTAAGATGCCAAAGAAATATGTGTTTTATGTATATTTATATACGTATTTTCAATCACAATTTGAAATATGTTACTATCGGGCGAATAGGAACAATGCGAAAGAATATATATAATAGTGTACCTTCGTGAAAGATACTCCATAAACATGACAATATTGCTTGTAAAATAGCAGGAAATGAACTTTTTATGTAGAAGCACAACCGATTATGATAGATGAAAATCTAGATAAATGTAGCTAACGAGACTGGAACACAAAATGAATTAAGATAGTATGTACCAAAAACGCCAAAAGCACGACCGACGTGAGACACATGCACATCCATATGTGAATGTGTACAAACATAAATTTTGTTTTTATCTAAATTACTGTTGCATAACTTCATATCTTGTTAGTCTTATTTAGTGTTGCGTGATTAATAGTTGAGTGGCGACCTCAATGGGTGAGACCGAAGCAAGTATTTTATGGAACTATTAAAACCAAAAATATGCAATATACCATTAGTTTAAAGGGGTTCATATGGATAAAGTACAATATCTTGATCATATGGTGCTCACGCATACGAAATTAGATAAAAAAATAGAATCAGATCTAAATTACGAAGCAACACATAGCTTGGATCTATACAATCAAACGCATGTATGGATAGCAACTAGAATATATTGTCAGACGTCTGTTTCCAGATGTTCAATATATGTTTTTTTGTACTTTGAACTAGTTGTGATGATTGTGTATGTTGGTGTCAGACCATTCGAACAATTCAGATGATACGAAGACAAATGAACACTAGTGAATATCAACACGTTTATACATATATATGAAATAAGATCAACACCCATACCATTTGCATCAACACCGTCCATGCTGATTTTAATGTTCTTGCAATTTGTATGCCCCAATACATTCCACGAAAAAAGATAACAGGTAAAACTAGACAATGTTGAACTCAAGATCATGATGTCAGTAACTCATACACAAAGCACATAATTTTGAAGATGATGAATAGTACAATACAAAGTTATGTCTAATACATATTACCTGAAAATGTCATCATATGATATGGTTTCTGCAACACATTTAACCCCGAATGTAGTGGCGGACAATTGGTTCATTCATTTTCAAACATAGTACCAATTGGGTAAAAGCGAACTTTATGGACAGTGTGACCATGTTGATGTTCACCTGAACGTCCCGTCAACATCAATGTATGGTCAAGTGTTATGTATATCAACACACAAACAAAGAATTATAGATTTAAAGACATATTTCATTTCAAAAAACAAGAAGTTAGTTCATGTCCATAAATTGTTTTCTTACTATAAATAAAGTAGAGGCTAAAGATTCAAATAAAAATGAAACTAGAAGGGTACTCGTGCAATGCAGCGAGATACATCTCGTTTTTAATGTTCTATTTTATTCTTTATCTCTGTTGATGTTATAATACGATTTTCTGTGTTTTTAAGAAAACAATAATGATTTTATTTTTGAATAAAATATAAATTTGAAAATATCATAAAAGTTACAAAAAAAATATCAATTTTAACATCAAATCAACTATTTAGAAAGTTCTCATTTTTTATGTAATTTATTTATTTTTATTATAATTTAATTTAAGTTTAATAATGAAATAATTTATTTTTGGTTTAATAATATAAAATTTATAAAAATAATAATTAAGTACTCTGTTAGAACTCGATGATTATCCTAATTATATTTTAGATTTTTTCTATTTAAAATAAGATGTTTATCATGTATTTTGATTATGTGTATATATGCAATTAGTTACACGAATTCAAACATGAAGCTTTAATAAGTTGTATTTGCGCACAGTTTATTTATAATCTTGAGTTTTTAAGTATTATGCATAAATAAACAGTACCTCATGCATAAAAAATGATTTTTTAAGAGTTTTTGTCAAATATTTTATAATATAGTCTAGTAATTCAAGTTTAATAATGAAATAATTTATTTTTGGTTTAATAATATAACATTTTATAAAGATAATAATTAAGTATTCTATTAAAACTCAATAATTATCCTAATTATATTTTAAATTTTTTATATTTAAAATAAGATGTTTATCAATAATGTTTATCTGCAGTTAGTTACAAGAATTCAAATATAAAGCTTTAATAAGTTGTACCTACGCACAATCTATTTGTAATCTTGAGTTTTAAGTAACATGTATTAATAAACAGTACTTTATGCATAAAAACTGGTTTTTAAGAGTTTTTGTCAAATGTCTTATAATATAGTATAGATATACATGTGGCAACACCAACTACATATGCCATCTAAACCTTCCCCCTACCTATACGTGTAGCCCCACGTTTGTTCGCATTATACGATGTCTCCATTGCAATGAATCGTTCCACATCAGTTATGATGGACGTCTTTCGGATGTTCTCGTCACTGAGTAGGATTTTCGAGCAGTACTTAGTTCGAAGATCCTTTAGTTGCCTTTTTTGTTTCTTGCTCTCCTTATAAAGCCCATAGTCCCATTTCCATTCGTCGCCTCCAAAGTAGGTTTCCATATGTCGCATTAACATTACACCACAATCAACCGAACTTTCACGGAATTGCCACCTTGTCTTGATCTGATCCTGGTCCATCTCAACATAGACTTTTACAACATTGTGCCCCTCTCTCAATAGGTGCATTATCATCATGTCTTGCTGAATAAATCATCAAGATGACAATTTAGACATGGTACTTATTGTGCTTACAGAATATAAGGAATAATAATGTCTACTTACAAAAACTACAGTATTAGATCCATATATATCATTAACCATGCCATCCGGATTCATAGAGTCTATGATCACGATCGAGGGACGCTTCAGATCAAATACTACGATGTAAAAGAATGATTCTTATACAATCAGGAAGAACATCTGGATTTATATATATGTAAGCTAGTTGTTACCATTTCAATATATTTTTCTTTATTGTACGTTAATCTTCCTAACAAACGTAATATACGTATCAGGTGTTACGCATACTAATCAGCTCCTTATCATTGATTGTGCAGCTTAGATATGTTATGTTTGAAACTTTCATACCTTTGGTGAACATCCAAAGTTTGGTCTCTAATGATACGATCCATCTGCGCATGACCAAAGTCATTAGTTCAATTAAAGAAGATGGACGTTCTTTATGGCTATGACATAAAAGTACATTTTAATGATATTACCGAAACGTCCATGGGATAGAAATAGCGTCTCGGAGAGTCATGGCTCCGCAATCTTTCTTCTCGGTTGAGAACCGTTGACCACCCGTCTAAAACATCTCTACAAATAAATTATTGTAACAGGTTATGGGCCGCCGGTCCCCGTCATTAAAAAATAAATTTTTTATATTTATTTTTGTA